AACTGTGGCTGCTGGAGGACTCACAAGCTACAAAAGAGGATACCATACAAATCCATGAACAGATTTTTAGCTCTTTTATTTGGTACATAACAACACTCACTGGGGGTGGAGGCACTGGTATAAAGAACTGCTGCCAAGGACAGCTCTCCCAACCCTAGCCAAGGCTGGAGCAACATCCCTTTGGAGTCAGGCATCATTTTAGCTCATTTGCCACAGCTGAATAATTTCAAAAAATATGTAAAAAGGTGAGAAATTTAAATTTAAACTGTGTTTGTTTATGAGCTGAGCAAATACCAATATTATTTACTGTGTCCCCAAATCCCTGCTAATCAGCACCCAGACAGCTGTATCTAAGTCCTTTCTCTTCACACACACTATCAACTCCTCTCTCTTGCTCTTGGCATCACTTGCTATGCCTCCTCCATTACACCTGCTGGAAGTTTTTGAAAAGGAAAGTTTGAAAAAGACAGAAATTAAAAAAAAAAAGTTTCACTAATATACCTTCCTCAATAGAGCAATGAGAGAAGCTTATACAGACATATCCTAAAAATGTTAATAGAAACGGTTCTTAGTTTGGCAGAAATTCCTTTTTAGAGTCTGCATATAAATGCAGGAGTTCTGAAACCAGCCCAGTGTGTGTACGCACACGTGCATATCAGCTCCAAAAAATCAGCTGTGCCTCCCTGCCATCCCAAAGCAGAGCTGGCCCTTGATGCACAGCCATCACACATCATCCCCCAAGCAGGGAGCCAGCATGGCACAGGAGAGTCCAGATTTGTCCTGGCAAAGGGGAGAAATGCTCCAAAAGAGAGAAGGATACAGCAGGAACGAACAGGCAAAGCATGGCACAGAGGCAGGAGGACATCAGCTGGTGGGGAGCTGCTGGGTGGCAGTTCAGCACAGTGTAAGCTGGGGCTCATGCAGCTCACAAGCACAGCATGAGCCCATGGTGTCTGTCTGGCACAAGAAAGGTGTACAGTGTACAAGGGTATATAAGCACAGTGACATAATTTTTTTCTTCTTCAGTTTCTGCCAGACTCCTCTATGCACTTCTGGAAAGCACTGGCCTGAAGGCAAATAGAGACCAACTGGGCACAACACAGGAGAGCACCACAAGTGGCCTTGAAAACACATCCTCCAACTGCAGGTCACTAGCTTTCTTCCCTGAGAAAGAAAACACTTGGGGATAGAGGATGGAGAGGTGACAGCAGCCTTGAGTTCATGAAGGCAGCAAAGAAAGCAGCAGTCAGTTCTCTGTGTCTGCAGGAGATCAGACAAGGGGAATCAGATTTAAATCATGCAAGAAAAATAGCTAGATAAGCAACTGGAAAACTCTGACAGGGAGTCTTTAAGATAAACACCCCTGAATTGAAGGTCAGGTTGTGTGGGACTTTTAGTAATCTGATCTAGTGAAAGGTGTCCTGACCATGGTAGAGGGATGGAACCAGATGATCTTTAACATCCCTTTAAACACAAACTGTTCTATGTTTCTATGAAGAACATCCCACCCTAAGGCTAGCTACAGTATATTTCAGCAAATACAACATTCAGAAAGCACAGACATTGTAAAATACACATACAAAGACATAACAATTACCAATAAGTATATGACAGTTACGTCAAGCATCAACTGATGTCCAAAAAAGGCACTTGGCTCAAGTCTCAACTGCAGTGTTATTTTTGTGAAGATAAGAGGTCAAATTCACATTAAGATGAACTTCGTTCATTTTCAGGAGGAACTGAATGCAAAACTCTTTCCACTTAAAATCTCACATCCTTTCCCCCTCTGATTTTCCTTTTCCTCTCTACTAGGCTTAGTCTATGAATGCTGAAAGTGTAGAAACAGTACCTAAAATAACCTGAGGTAAACACACTCCTACTAGATACAGGTAAAAGAGAGTGCCCAGTACTTTTGCAGAAGGCCTGTGACACATTGGGGAATAGTCGTGTCAAACCAAGACCCTCTCTCGATTTCTGCAGGGAGTGTTGGCTCACATCCAGTTCAGAGTAGCTAAAATCATTTCTCTCTGTTGTTGTTTAAAAGCCTAAATGCAATGAAATACTAGTCTGAGTCCATTTCCCAGTGGGCAAAAGTGTCATAAAGCCACCATCAGAGATGGATCTAATTGCCAGTCCTGGTAGGGAAAAGAGGATATGAATGGTGAGACACAATACTCTTCCTCCTGTGGCGCTTGTTACAAAACTCTGCAGAAGTTGCTCCAACTCTTGGAGCACTGAGTTTCAATTTTTTGCCATGCACATCCAAACCCCAAATGCACTTGTGTGGTTAACCAGACACCTCAATGACATGTTCTGCCTCCTTCTCCCTCCTGGCTTTTGCTGCTAGTGAAGAGTTGCCAAGGTATGAAAATTCACACCCTAGATCTATATTCTTGACTGATCATATTCGACCTCAAATGTTTAACCACATGCCAGACTCGTGGCCATTTTGGCCTCGAAACTGCCATGGATGCATTTCAATATATTTATCCTTTTCACTATATACAGAGCATATGACTCAATTAAGCACAGAGTCACAGGGTCAAACATCATCAATTCTGCAGCTGAAGCCTTACCTCCCCACAGCTTGCTCCAAAGACACTTACTATTACAGTGTAACAAACACAGAATCAAACCCTAAGCCCTGGAAGAGTGACTTGAAATCATGACCATAAAATCAGATGATTCAGGCTAACCAGGCTCACTCAAGACCTTTGTGTGAATTTTTGTCACACATAACACCGAGGACCTCATGGCAAGCTAATCCGAAAGGCACAGGTAAGTATTGCTGTACATAGTCCTGTAGTCAAGTTGCCAGTCTAGCAAACCTGCTTTAGGTTAAGTGCAACACTAGACTTCCCCTGGGAAAATGGGCAAGTCCAATTGATTGCAAGGAGGTAAGCATCTCACTGTTCTCCCTTCCCTTCCAGGCTTCACTTTGCCTGGAAATTTAATTACCTGGAAATTTAATTACCACTTTGCCTGGAAATTTAAATTACCCCACTCCAGGCACTTCAGAGGGCAAATCTGTTTAAGAAAGATACTAGACTGATGAGAGAGGATGATTAGGTACCACCAGCAGCTAGAAAAGTATTATCTTATTTCCAGTGGTTATCTACAGTTCTCCACGAATGTATGCTGCCCCGCCTATCTGTGCTAAAACAGGTAGTGTACATTTCCCTTCAAGAGCTCTCAGGAAGAAATAGCTTATTTTACAGCATCTCTCGTTGGGTGGTTTCTGGAGCCTTCCCAGTAGCTGTAACAAAAAAATCACAACAGGCACATTTTCATCACTAATTGTTCTCCTAAGGCATTCAGAATTATTCTTCTGCTGATCTGCACAATTGAGTTTATTTCCTCTGCCCCCTTTCCTCTTCACATTCTTTCCCTTTTCTCTGTACTTATTTATATTTTCTCACCTCTTTTTTTTTTTTCCTCCTTTTCACCTTCTGCTCTGTGATTAGTGGCGGTCTGCAGGTAAAATAAGTCAAAGTAGCAAATTTTGTGTTTCAACCTGAGCACAAGAAGATTGGTCACTCTCATCTCCTCTGAAAATGAGTTTTAAAATTTTGCTCTCACTGCCAAAATTGCCCTTCATATGAAAAGAAGCATAAAAAGGAACAGTAGCCAGAATTGGCCAAAGAGCAAGAAATAGAGGGTCACTGACAACACCACCCAGAGCTGGAAGAGGACAAGAAACATGGTACAGACAAAATTTAGGCTCTGCAGTACTCTTTGGCCAAATAAAAACCCCAGACTTTATACTGTCAAACTTACGCCTTACACCTCCTTTCAAAGCAAAAAAAGAGATAACTTGCACTCACAAGACCATTCCTGGCAAGAGAAAGGGTGGGAAACTTATCCAAGAATATATCTTGGGAGGTTTGCCCACAGAGGGCCTGGGTAGCCACTTTATACACCCTTGTTGTTCAAGGAAATGCCAAACCTCCCATCCGAGAGGGGAAACAGCAGCAGGTCTCTTTTTTTGCAAACAGCAGTCCAAGAGCAGGAAGACACCTGGACAGGGAAAAGACTAGGCAAATAGTTCCTGAACAACCCATTAATAGAAATACATTCTCAAATCCTGCTGAGATCGTTTCAAGTAAAGACATTTTTAGTAAGAATTATTTATACAGATAATTAATAAACTACAAAAAAGTCAAATACAGGCTTTCTGTCATGTCATTTCTGTTACTAAACTATATAATAACATCATACACTTCACCCTACATTAAGTTCTTCACAAAAAGGGGGAAATAATATAGGCTGCCATCAGAGTCCTCTCTGATTCCTCCTCATTTTTTGTAGTATGTTATAAGGAATTAATGTCCTTTTTTCGTCATGTAGAGAGATTCTCATTTTTCTTTTCTAATTCCTTGTTATTACTGTGGACAGGACAGGTTTGCATGACAGCAATAACTGGTGATGTGTAATGAAGCAGCTGGTTCCAAAAATTTGATTTCTCTGTTTACATCTCTGGCTTTAAAGTCCCATAGCAATTGAAAAAAAAAAAATAACAAAAATTCCAAACTAAATTACCATATTGAAAACTTCCACAGAATCATATTTATGCAGAAAGGTTTTTCTTACAGCATTTTGCATAGTTCCTTCCCAGTTGCTAATATTTTAATAAAATACCTTTATTATTATGGAGTGCACTGAGAATCAGACCTGGAACTTCTATATCTGCAGCTTAGCTGGGGGCAGGAAATACTCCACTAAGAACCTTTGCAGCTCAGGTCTTTTTACTATTTCTTTCCCTTTCAAAGTGTTTTGATTAATTTCAAGTCTTGCACCTGCTTTGATCACCCATTTTACTGATTATATTTTCTTTACCCCTGCTAGAGAGGAATCTGGAGCTTTACACTCCTCACTGACAACTCTTCCATCAAGAATGCTTTAAGAGATGAGCACTTTCCTCGGCAGCAAAAAAGCAAACCATGATGTGTTTCACACAGAAATCAGCCTCTAAAAAAAAATAAATAAATAAAAGAACTCACCTCATATTTTATCCAGCATCTTCTGAGTCTCATCAGAGCAAATTAAAAATGAAATTTGCTTCTTGAGAGGATAGATCAGACACCCTAAAGAACAGCTGCAATTTGTGTTTCTGAGAAATGAAAATTGAAAAGCAGACTAAAGTGGATATTGGGTGATTTATTAACCTCCTTTCTCCATTCTTTCTGAATGTCAGTACATTCAGCAGATTATCGATAGGACCGTCTTTACCACATGATTTTCAAAATGAAATCAAACAGACAGTTCCCTGTCCCTCTTCCTTCCCACCTCACACAGAGCACAGGGATGTTCAAAGCACCTTGGCGCTCCTGTTTGCACAGCAGGAGGCATGGAGCCTGCAAACATACCCTGCAAATCTCCTAGCCCTGAAGTGCAATGGGCACTAACTGCTGTAGGTATTAGTCCTGTTTGTGCCACACACTTGAGAGCCTTCGTGAGCTTGTCCAAACACATGAGGCTCATTCGTGAGCAAAAATATTAAATGTTCCTCCTTGACATTTTGTTGTTTTAGTAATCTAACCCCACGGAAACTATATCAAGATCTATAAAGCCATTCAGCTCTTAATTGTAGCATATATGAATCACCATGTCAGTTAACATGAGGTGCATAAATTGCTGGCAGTGTGGATTTATGCCACGAGGATGTAATTCACCAATATCAGCTCTTATATTGGATTAGAAATGTGGGATTTGAGACGAACAGACTTACAAAGCCGGTTGAAATTTGAGTTGTGACCTTAACAAAAAAGTCAGAGGCTGAGGCTCACAATCTGTCTGTGTGCTTAAGTAAGAGTTTCACGTTCACTCTGCTCAGATTAATTGCTTCTTTAACCTGCAGACGCTGACACACATGCGCAGCTGTGCACACTAATAGGAGGACAGCAGCCGAGGCTCTATCAAGTTTCATTAAATCCTGCATGCTTAATTGTCTTCATTGCTGGAAACCATCATTTTATTTAATGGTTTAAATACAACAGAAATGCCTTAATCTCATTTAACTATTAAAGACATTTACAAGCAAACAGAAATTATTTTAAGAGAAACACATATTACACAGCTGCACGGACTTTGTTGCCTGGTGCAGGTAGAAGATTTTTTTTCTACTCATTCCCTGTGTCTGTAGCCAAAGCAGGGTCAGAGCCTGCGATAAAAAGTTTTTTGATTCATTCTGCTTAGCCTGGTGACACTGGCACGCCAGGTCAATTGCACTGTAGCTGCCTATAATTGCAGATATTAATGTAGCTTTGAAAGGGATTCAAAAATTACTTTAAATGTCCACGCTGGCTAGAAACTCATTTTGTCCTCATATAAACATGCCAGATCATCCAAAAAATAATTAGGTACTAGGGTTAAAATACACAGATAACACTTGAGCTCTTTTACAGCTTATACCCATGCCATACTTCTCTCTCCTTGGCTCATTATCTTGTTTGTCCCCTCTTGTTTGACAGGGGAGCCCACTGAATATCAGAGCACTGCATCTGCATGCTGATGCTGCCAGACTTCCTGTTAAAAAACCCAGCCTGCAGAAGCACACTAGAACTGGCAGTGTTAGGGGTAAACAACAATCCTCCACTGAAGCTTTGAAAGCAAGACATTAGGTCTTGAAACTTGGCAGATTTGGATACCGTCCCTTCATAATAATCCCTATGTGTGGGTAGATTTTGCCTGTCAGAGACCTGTTGAGTGTTAAAATACAGGTGGCGGCATCTTTCCTTGTGCACTCCTTCACTCTGTCTTTGCTCTGATACTGCCCTCAGTGATCCCGTGGGTCCCATCCTTTTGCCTAAGTCTCCTTTCAAGATCCTCCCTTTATGGATAAAATAGGTAAAACCAACACAGACAATGCTGGCAGCAGGTGCTGAGGGGCCTGGGCTAAACTCCAGCTTCCCAAGGACACCCTGCAGGATTACAGCATCTCTTTAATCTGACTGCACGTCTCTGCAGGCAGTTGGCCTCATTGCTGGAGCACTAGCGCAGCTCACCCAAGGAGAGGGAATGGATGGGCAGGTTAGAATTGGGCTTCTTCCCCCACTCTGTCTCTGCTGGCCAACGGCCACACACATATAAAGAGCATAAACTTACACCTGCTAAAATCCCTCTTCAAGACAAGAGAACTTCTAGTTCAGCCCAGAAATTTCAATTGTCAGGTTGAAAATGTGTGTTTTTCCAGAGAAACCAGGTAAGTCACTCAGCAAATGCTCTGTAGAAAGTCCCTGAGGCATCACCGTGGCCCATGTCAGCCCTCTGTTGCCTCTTCCCAGTGCCAGCCTTTCTCTGCAGGAAGACTTGAGAATGGAGCTGTTCTATTTCTCCCTACTGTTAGTCAAACTTTGAAGCATCCAACCGACACCAGTCTATCAGCCTTACAGTTATTTAAAGACAGCCTGTCAGTTTATTATTAATAGCTGCAATTACATTATAGCAGTTAAAAGAGACAAGTGAGATTGGGAACATACTGCAGCCGGGGTTAGAGATCTGCTCAGGCCTACTTTGTGCTAGAAGAGGCTTTCAAGTGTGATTATATGGGCAAAGCCTTCTTGCTGAGACCCATGATACATCTTCCCATGGTACATGGCGTAGATATGAGCTCGCTCTGCCAGCTGCCCATCTATAAGCTGAGCGGCAGCAGAGCCAAACTTAGCAAATACACCCATCCCCTCAGCAATATCTATTGCCTCAGGTTTAGTGAGACACTATCATCTATCCCTGTCACTTCTGGTCATCTCAGAGCTTGAGACAGAGCATGGTGACATTCATTTTTGGCACATCATTCAGGCAATACCAGTCCCTCATTTCCACAGGAAAAACACCACTTCCCAAAGAGAATGTAGATAACCAGCAAAAAGCCATGTTTTAGTTTTGCCCGTATAGCTGCATCTAAACTAGGAGTTTACATCAGCATGAAAGCATTAATAAAATAGCTCATCTAACCAACATAATTTTACTGTCAGCAACTCCAAATATAGGTCTGAGCCACTGGGAGAGAATCATCTTCCTAAGCAGGCACTAAAGAGTTTGTGCTTTAAATTCTTTCTGGTAGAAGGGAAACTGAGGCAGAAAGCAATTGAAATACTCCCCCAAGGTCATGCAATACATTTATGCAAAACATGACCCTACCTGCATTTTAGTCCATGGCACAGATGCCATGGAGGTAGCAATTTAATAAGCTACGAGCCCCATCTGTTCATTATTGTCTCAACTGGAGATTGTCATCCCCAAAGCTGAGCCACAGTAATTGATTATATGAATGCTCCTGCTTTGACCCAATGCAAAGGCAGTCAATTTAATTTAAATCCTTGTTGGAGAAGATTTCAATTTGCTGGCTGACTTTATTCTGAGGCACACAAGGAGCACTCACAGAAGTTTCGCTGCCCATTCCTGCAACATCTGACAGAGAGCATCTGTCCATCTTTTACCTCTCTGGCAATTTTTAAATCAAAATAAATAAAATGCAAAATGAGAAAAAGAAAAGGAGACTTTTCTTGTGGTACTATCCAGAGCTCTGAGCTTAACAGAATTTCACCTAGCAGAATTTGCCAAAACTAATAGGATTCTTTAGTCTTAAGGTCTCCCTGTTCTGAAGTTTCTCTAGTTTGCTTTCCAGAATTATGTATTTTCACTTTCTCTCCATATTTAATTCTCGTAAAGAAAAGAGAACATAGTTCATATTTTTGTTCAAACTACCAGCACTGGGCAGCAGTGGTAGGGCCACAGAAGCTACAGGGGTGGAAAAAAGCTTTAAAAAACTCTCCCTACATGCTGCATCCACTCTTCTCGACATTTTGAGTCATCAAAACTTCACTAGTGATATGAGAGGCTGCTAAATTTTTCTCTCTTACCCTTTTCTTTCATTTTTATGAGTTAGATTTTGATTACATTGTGCCTGACGAAGACCAGCCGCCTCCACAAGTAACTGTATTATCTTCAGAGGCGGCCTCAAGTAAAAGCATAATGTATGTAAAGAAGTCATAACATTTAGGGCCTGTTTTTTTATAAACTGCATGTGAAACCAATTCACATGCACCCTTCAAATGTTAACATACATGTGCACTTGCAAGTCTTCCCTGTGGACTTTGCTTCCAGTAAAAAAACCTACATTCATCGAACAATACACTTACCCTTCCCCTCTTCTGTCCTTAAAAACAAGATCACTTTTTGAACATATAAAAATCCACTAAAGAAAGAGTATTTTTTTCATTAAAAGACAGCATTAATTTTCAGGTCTTTGTCCTAGCAGTTACAGCCCTGACTTGTTTTCATTGGGGATGTTTTTCTCTTATTCTTGAGAAAAGTGAGGGAAAAAACCAACATAAATTCCATCTCACAAACCAAAAATCATGAGCATAAACACTTTAGATGTTTTGCTCAACTGTAGTGACATTACCCCATGTGCAACAGTAAATAAAGTAAGCAGATGTTCACAGACAGCTGAACAAAGTGGTTTGAAGATACCCAAATTACTGCAAACAGCCCATTTCTCTTTCTTTTTCACCTTCTACCCCATCACTTGACCGTAATGGCACTTTTGCTGTTCATCACTCTCTCTCCCCATCAATTTTCATTGCCCTCCACAGCTTCTTTATCACTTTTGTTGTCAAACCTACAACTACCTTTAGTTCAGATGTTTGCCATAAATTCTGGCTATAGACATCTAACCCATGAAGAATATAAATAAATTGGCTAGTTTGAAGAAGCACTAGGTGATAATGTATTTTTTCATATCCACAGATAGAGCTAATATCTTCACATCTCTGTTGGAAAACTGACACAGCACTAATGCCCTTACTCTGACTGTTTGTCTGTCCCCTCTGCACTATTTTAAGAAACAAGCATGTTCTGGTGCAGTAAACAAGAACCAAACCACCACACAACTTAAAGCAGTCACAAGCAAAGAAAAATTTTCAGCCGTTCCCTTTGTGCACGCTCTGCAGGATGTTTTGCTACAAACCATCATTTAAATAAAAAAAAAATTATTTTAACTCTAAATTTTTCTAAAAGGCAGTGAATGCTTGTGAACAGAACTATTACCATTTTCAAAGATTAAAAAAGATAAAAATTTTTTTCTTCCAGAAAAAGTAATACCAAAAGCATTGCCTCTTTTTTTTTTTTTTTTTTTCAATTTTGTGGTGGTCTTTTTTCTTTTTGTGGGTTTTACTGGGGGGGGAGGTGTATATTTTCATTTTTACCCTGATGTAATAGCATTGACTTTAGTGGGAGGTGAGGTTTACTCCAGTACAAACAGTAGAGAAAAATCAATCTCTTTGTGGAGACATGTCTATTCCTGAAGCCAAAATGTGTGACTGGGAGCAGGTTCCAACACAGCGTGCCCCATGAGCCTTTCACCATGGTGTTGCAGCACAGCCAAACTGGTGGCTTATTCCCAGCTCTGCTTCATCTACCCAGACTGGAAAAATACAATCTAGGTCGGCACCATGTGTAAAACAATATTCATGATGAGCAAGTCTGGCCTTATGAGAGATCCGTATTTATCTGACATAGCCAGGACATTTCATTTCTTCCAGCAGTTGAAATTCCTGATATTTTGAGGCAAAACCCATTTTATTTGAAGATACCATAGCCCTGCCATTCTCCTCAACAGCAAGACACAGTGTTATTTTCAGTTAGAAGCTGAAAGCACAGCCTCCATTAACAATAGAAGATAAATAAATCTCTAACTGCTGAAAAATCTGGAGAAACATGACCCAAGTATCACTGAAACTCCCAGAGGCCAAATAAACAGGCTTTTTTCAAAAATGTCTCGGCTACCACTTTTTTGGTAGGACAGGGAAAGACAACTCCTAAAAACGCACCAGCTGAAGGGCAGGGTAGAGTCAGACTCACATGTTCACAGAGGTCTCTTCTCCTTTTACTTCTCAGTTACCCTGACCAAAAAAAAAAAAAAGGATAAGGCAATTCCTGGCTGCCAGGGAGACTTTCCACCAGGGCAGGAGACCTGTGAGAGTGCCCACCCCATCCCCCACAACCTTCATAGCCCCTGTCCTCCAGCAAGGGTGCTCAGCCCATGCAGTTACACCCAGAGCTGCTGTCATCACCCCTGCACAGCAAGGGATGGTTGCGCTGGTGGCAGCAGGAAAGCTGCTTCCCCATAGCTGTGCAACAAAGCCCAGCTGATCTAGAGAGAGAAGCAGCCTCATGGGTGGGCTTACCAGCTCCAAGTGCTTCCACCCCCACCCGGGGGGCAACACAACCACAGTTGATCAGTGGCACAGGAGCCATTTCAGGAACTAAACTGCTTGTTTCGGACAACCAAGGTCGCCTTCACCACACCCTCTGCCTTGCTTAGGCAAACTTCTCCTGGTGTTACATTTTAGGTACCCCACAGTTTTCACATTCTCCGTGTCACAAATTAACAGCTACCACTTTTGTCTACACACAAGCCTCTGCTTTCTGCTCCATTATCAGGCACCTGCCGCTACCATTGCCTGACTTAAAGGCTGCCTGGTGCTGGCTGCATCTGTAATGCAGTCACTGGTGATGAATTGTGATGCCACAAGTGCTAGATTGCAGAATCACTAAAGGAATTGGGATGATAAAGGGAGAAGAATGTCTGTATTTACACACAAATGTCTTCATAATCAGCAGGACTGGGAACAGAAATAGAATTAGGCAGAAAAATAGAATTAGCATTACTTGGATGTTAACTGGAAGAAGCGTGATGCTTCTAAACATGGAGTACATGTGGTTTTTCCTGGAAAAGGATATTGTGTGCTGACATGCTCAAGGCAGGGTGGGCAAAGCAAGAAAAGGGAGAGCTGAAAAGTGGCTCAAGCTCTGGAGGCAGAAATGCAGGTAGAAAGTACATCGCTTTCTGCAATAAGGCTTTTACTTTGAGGAGAGGCAAGGAAAATATAAAGCATCTCAACAGACAAAGGTGACTGAATTCTGTTTGTTTATTCCACAGAGGGAATAAGGTCAACAGAACAGGTCAACAATTTCCTCTCTTCCCACAGTGGTCTCCTGGAAAGGACACCAGCCTGGGGAGCTGTGTCTAAACTTCATTTTCTGTCACATATTCTTTCCCCTCTACCTCTTGTCTTCATCCTTTAGCGCAGGATGTCCACGAGACAGAAGTGACGACTTCGTGCTGTCAGACACGTGCCCAATCTCACCAGCTTCTGTCATGCAGGCACTGCCAAGAGGCATTCCTGCTGGCATTTTTTAAATCCACGCCTGACTGGCATCCATCATTCACAGCTCTCTGCTTCCTCCCTCTTGTCTGCTTTCAGCTCTCACAGTGCTGTAGCTTCTGATTGTGGGGTCCTTGCATTTGAAGGCAGCTTGGGGTGGACTGCCTCCTTTTGGCTCTCTGGGAATACAAAATAATTACATGTTTGTTACTTTTGTGAACAGGAACCATTCAAAAGACTCGGTTCTCCTGACAGCTCCTGGAGAAATGATGCCCCAGTAACAGGCTTCTCTTTAATGCCTAGGCTCCTCCTGATGTCCACCTGTGATCCTTAGCATTATTAGGAGGTGTTCACAGCCACTTCAGGAATGGCAGCCTCCAGGTTTTCAATCTGCAGAAGAAACACAACTTGACATTGGACACTATCCTCTCTTCAAGCTGTGGAATTCGATTTAAAAAAAAAATACTATCTGATGGAGGAAAATTTTACAGGAGTGCAGAGGTGCTTTAGAAGAGCAGCTTCATGATTCCTATCTTCAGGGGTATCATAGCACTATCTGGAAGCAATACCTTTCGAAAGACCACCTAGCATTAGGCACTTGGCACTTGGCTAAGTATCAGCTCTGCTAACAGTTATGTTTATGCATTTCTCTACACAGCCAGTGGCATGCAGGATTTAAGGGTTCTTCCTTCCTTCTCCTTTTCTGCAACTGTGCTACTAGCCCTGTGCTACCTGAGAAGATCAGTTTATTTGCATGTAGCCCATTTACTTTTATTTTGGAGGTGAAGACAGAACTTTTCTGCCTCTGGAACACTGGTGCAGCAGCTGTGAAGTTGCTGGTAAAAAAAGTGCTGTAGAAGTTATAAACTACCACTGCCAGATTGGATGGCTCTCAAGAATTCTCCTCTACAGCCTCCCAGCCTAATTTTGCATTTTGAAAATCAATTGTATAATTGATTTCTGAACTTTCCAACTTGAAACAACAGAGAGCTGGTTTTCAGAAAGATGAGACACATTCCTCCCTCTGCTGAAACCAAAGGTGTTGCACTAAATCAATAACAAATGCTTAGCACTACCAAAGCGTAGTAGCGTGCTCCCATGGCTCTAGGTTACTTGGAAAGCTTAACTCTTTTCTAGTCAACCAAGTGATGACTAGACCAACCTCATCTCCCACCTCGGGTGTTTCCAGCCCCAGGAGCTTCGCAGTAAGGGACAACTGAGATGAACTGCACGGGGAGGCAAAGAGCAGCTGGGCAGGAAGACCATCCTTCCCTTGTTCATCCAGCGAGTGCTCATCGCAGCCTGTCAGCACTGATCCTGCTTTGCAAGGGTGGAAAAATATCCCCCTATGTGGAGAAGAGCAGCGACTCCACTGAATCCTGCAGGAGCACAGCCGTGCTGCCAGCCTCGTTCCCCTCCCCACGACACTCAGTGAAAGGCTCAGCGAAGAGCCAGATCTGGAGACTGCCACAGCAAAGGGCCAGGTTCGGAGATTGCCACGCCATTCAGCAGAGGAAGCTGGGGCTCAGTGTCCCCACTGTTCGCGCTGCCACCCGGAGAGCCGCCCAGGGCAGCCCCCGGCCCCGGCACCAGGACAGGGCAGCGGCTCTCCTGTCGTTTAAATGGGGAAGGGGACAGGAGAAGAAAGGGAGAGGAAGAGCAGCGGGAATAGGGGGGAACGGCGAGCAGGGAGAAGCTGCAGACAGCCGTGAGATGCGGAGCGGGCTGCCTACGCCGGGGCTGCACTGGCACCCAGCGGCGGCGGCGGGGCGAGCGCCGGGGATCCCGGGAAGGCTCCGACTGGGATGCGCTGCCCAAAGCCAGGGTAGCCCCTTCGGAAAAACTACGGTTACCTTGAAAGGGAAAAACTCCCCAAACACCACCAGCCCTGCCCTACTCAACCCTAAAAACAACACACAAAAAACCCCACCTAAACAAACAAACAAACCAACCAAAAAAAACCACCACAACAACCCGACTCCAAACTATATTCCATCTTTCCCTCAAGTGTGTTTTTGCAAGCCACAAAATGGGCATTTCACTCTTTGTGTTGCAGCAGACTTACTCAGACTGTGTTATTTTCACTGGAGCCAAAGGAGAAGCTTGGCCTTGCTGGTGAAAACTTGGCACCTCTCTGTGTGCCCACTGAAAGAAATGTTTTCAGATTCACATACCTGTTTTTCAAAAGACTGAGAATAAATCTGTCTTTTTGTCAGATAAGAAACATTTCGCATTTTGTTTCAAAGAGACAAAGTTAAATAGTTCTGCACAGCAAGGGCAATGTTTCAGTCAGAGCCCCAGTAATAGATGCTCTATGCTGAACAGCCTTATGTAGCAATGACAATATAATCAATTGATGGATGAGTTAAAATCTTTTAGGACTCAGTCAAAACCCACTTCTATGTAATGGCATATGTGTGTCCATTTTCCAGATAGGCTGCATCCGTCAGTAATACCAAGAGAAGGGATAGGGAAAGGCTTCTGAAACCATGAAAGGTAGTTTAAATGTATCAAGCTTTTCTTTGCTTTTCGACTGTGCCTAATTTTCCCCACCCATTCCAGTACAGACATTCACGTGATAGAAGTATTTTGTGATATGGAGAAATCACATACAAGAAAACAGGACTATGGGAATTAAATTGTAGCCATAGCCCAGATACACCTGGAACTGGCTGTTTGACAAGACCAGAAGAAATCATACAATTTCCTCTCCTTCCTGATATGATTTTTCCAGTTTATCTTAAAATTCTCCTCTGTTTCATTTGAAACCCACTCAGGACTGGAAATGGGTGGGCGGTATTAACACAGACAATCTCTTCTGGCTAAAACCAGAAGTTAGTCATTCTAGCAGTACCCTAATACATTTGGCATGCAGTGTAAATTTGGGAATAAGACAATACAGGTTCTGAACCTCAGTTTTTCCACACCAAATTAAACATCTTGAGTTTTCCTCACCACTGCCCAGTGCCGCAGTTGGCTACGTAAGTACCTCTTCCTAATGGGCTGAAGCTCTGCACATCTTGTCATTTGTATGGTTTTGTGCTATGGACACAAGGATTAGCAAGGATTTAGGATTTATATCTCATTTGAAAGATGAATAATTTACCACTTCATGTCTTCCACCAGTGGGAAAGTTAAGCAAAGCATGATGCACTACAGCGCCTTGTGAACATCACCAGAGAAAGGTCTAGAGAACAAGTGGGAGCACTTGTATAAAATCATTATATCTAGATTTGGTGAACAGAGGACTGAGGTGAATCCCAGAGTTTAGGAGGCAACACTGAGAACAGCTTCCATCCTTGCACGATGAGGGAAAGACCATTGAGAAGTAAAGATGTACCTGGAAGCAGCAGGAAACCTCCCAAGCCCTGTGGAAGCAACATCTCCTACAATCCCCGCCTCAGATGTTGGGGCAGGAGCAAGAATTACTCCTTTTTGTGTTTCTGTCAGCTTCATCCAGCTTGAAATTTAGCTGCAGCAGCCCCATGAAATCTCTAGCTGAGACAGTAACACAAGAGAGACGATTTCTCAAGCAGGCTGAAATTTCAGCCACCGCCATTCTCCCACACATCTGAACTCCCTTCTCCCATTTATTTTTTCATTCCTCTCTCAAGCGCCATGACAAGTCAGCTCTTTGTTTTTAGTGCTTCAATTACGCCCTCAGAGCACTTGAACTGCTGAGCCCTCCCAACAAAATCAGGATAATGAATAATGTTCATCGTCTGCTTCTGTGTAACTGTTTCCCTCTCCTAGGCTTGCAGCATGACTGGAGAGGCACAAGCACTGACAGCTGAACAAATCCCACACCATCACAGAGTACAGGCGCAGCAGTGTGCCCTGGCAGCCTTCTCAAACACTGCAGCCTGCTTTTCCATGTTGGAAGGACTTTATCTCTGGAACTAGCCATGGAGGACCCAGCCTCATTTGAGAAGCAGGACTGCAAAGAAGTCCTGAGGTACAGAGATGCCCAGCACAGAAAAAAGGGGTACTCCTCTCCTTGGTTCTCCCTAAAAGTGTTACTCCTTACGCTACCCACATGAATAGCCACTTCCAGGTATGTTGATCAAGGCACACAAAAGGAGGATGAGTCAGACTTCTTCAACCGAGCTGCCTTTAGCAACAGTAGTAGCCAAAATCACTGGCCCTCTAGCTTCTGTTTTTCTAAACTTAAACCAGACTGTTTCCTATGAAAAATCAAGAAATATGCAGAAATTTGTAATAGTATATATAATATAAAATAATATATATTGCTGTTACTCATTCTTACAAAAGCCTATTTCTTTAGCAGAAGTCCATGTTATTATGGACTCCCTCTCAGTCAGCCTGACTCCAACACCAGGAATCACATTTACCTGCAGCCCGGGAGACATCAGTCACTTTGCCATCAATACCCCCAACAATAGAGCCTTGCAATGGTTGAAATTGTTGCTCAATTAATCGCCGGCTAGTTCCTGCCAAATTGCCTGCAATAGCTCTTCCTTTGGCATGGAAGGAAAGAATACTGCCCTTTAAAGTGCTCTGAGGTCACATTAGACTCACACACACTCCATTACCCATGACCTTGCCTCTCTGGCAGAAGCTGGAAGCACATATCAGATGTTTTCCTTGGGCATCTGACCTCCTCTGCCAGGGCCTAGAACACTAGGCTGGAGACTAAAGGGGGTCCTCACTGGGAGATATGGGGTGGCCAGAAGGAGCACAGGGTAAAAATTGCTAGGAATGCTGTCCTTGAGCTCCCAGGAGGCTTGTCTTAAGGGATCAACACATTCAAACAGGGAAGAGCCTGTTTATTGAGGGAGTGAAGCCCAAGAGGAAAAAAAAAAAAGAGTGTTTTACTTTGTATTCTTCCGTGGTCATATGAAGGTTGCTCCACTGAGAGAGTTTAGGAGGATCAGCAGGAGAAGACACAGTATATTTTATATGGAAAACTATTTGGAGATTTCTTCCCTTCCCTAACCTTTCCTCTTTTCCTTCCCCTCCCCTTTATGAGCTAGAAATAGCAGCAGTGTTGAAAAAGCCCACAAGAACCAACCAAATGTCTTGCAGATTCAACAGCAGAGGAAGGTGACTTCCCTTTTCACCTGGAGAGCAAGAAGTGCTCACTCTCCTTGCCAAGGGAACAAAGGAGAAATTCAACTCCACATAACCTGGAAACCCCAAAGTCTGTCTTATGCAAGCACAAAACTGTGCAGTCTGGGGTTATTATCATCCAGATACGCATGATTTTTAATTAATTGTTTTACCATTCCTGGGTGCAAAAAATGTCAGAAATATAAATGAAACGTTAACGAAAACACTGCATTCTACTTGTTTTTTAGGGAAAAAAAAAAAAAAAAAACGGAAAGCAAATTGGAGGTTTGAGAATCTAGAAAGAATATGTTCTCAGTTCTTCTGAAAGTTATTCTAATTTTCATCATTTAGCAGAAATATCTGAATACTGTGGATGTCACACCCTTCCAGAAAGGTATTTATACCTCTTTTCAGATACAAAATTATCTCTATTGTTTTAATTTCAGATACCCAGGCTTCCTTTTTACCATTCTACCTACAGCATTTTCCACAGGTGATATCTGGGCGGGGGGGGGGGGGGGGGGGGGGGGGGGGGGGGGGGGGGGGGGGGGGGAGCGACTGAAAAATGGGGTGAGGGTGGTAGAGAATAAATTTAATTCCATATAAAAACTTAAAATGAAAGAGGTTCTAATTTAAGTATTTAGTGCAAGTCACCGAATAAAATCTTCTACTTTTGTTAACATAAGTGCTGCTTTATTTAGTGTGTTATTGCAGTGCTATTTCCAGCGTGGCCCACCGACATGAACACAGGGATCACCATACTGATCCGTCTATATATAGTACCTCGTAGCTGACAGTGACAGGTACCAGATGCCTATTATTAAACTGCAAGAAGACAGCAAATGATGAAACAGTAAATCCTTATAGAAACCTGAGCAGGCTCCTGCTGCCATGGGGTTTGAATGGAGCCAAATTGCATTGGGGTGGTAAGCATAGCTTTCCTGAACCCCCAGGATCTTAACCTTCAAAACAGAGAGAAGGAGTCAGGACTGCCAGGCACAGGACCCCTGGTGCTGTCTGTGTCAGCCACCAGAGAGCCTCTGTCAATAGCTCCAAGAGTGGCCAGCAATCGACTTTACCATCCTGAAACAGTGGCTCTCCTGGCTATTTACAACAACTTAGAAAGCCAGCACAGCATTCAATTATTTCCCTGCTCCTTCAGAAAGTTAAAGAGGTAAGACAGAAGGTGAGAAACACATAAAGACAAAACATTACCGGAATCTGCACAATCTGCTGGGAGCAAAGCATCACTATATGGCCCCATTCACAGTAGCATTATCTGTCTTTCTCTCCCAGCTCACCCACTGACTTGAAGCAATTTCAGTTTTAATGAATGCTTAAATTCAAATATCATCACAGAACTATCCAAGACTCTGCATACAAATATATGTTTATGCCTTTTGTGCAAGGTGGCATCCTTTTCAGCCTCACTGGTAAGAAGCCCAGCCAGAACCTCAATGGGTATCCGCAGAGCCTGCATTACCCTATTTTAAACATTTGTACAATTCACACTAGCATCACAGGTAGTTTTGGTGCCTCAGTTAAGCAGAGCTCTGCTGGAGATGAAGCTCACAGGCAGACAATCCTTCCCACACCAGGGACTGAGACATCCAGCAAGCTCCATATACCAACTTGAAATTCAGATGTTTCTGGTTTCAATGCCCCTGTTTGCTTCCCTCCAAAAAGAGGAGAAATAGCCCTCAGTTACCTCATTTTTTTCTTCATTTGTTACTTTACCCTCTTCTGCAGCCAGCCTTTGTAATCTCCTTCAAAAATTTAAATA